CACATAAATTCCCTTTCTCAGTAGACAGTAAAGCATACTTGAAGCACCCAGAATAGCTAAACCTGGGCATCCTCCCTATTGTTGTAAATTATAAGAAGAACTAATAACACTTTTCCATTCTTTTTACTTTTAATTATGAATTACCTACCTGCATCCTACAGTTGATCAGAAAGTCACACTCACCAACGAATACCATAATAGTACATTTGATTATATAAAGTTATATAATTAAGCAAGCTGAAACACAAATACTTTTGCCTAGTTCAATACCACCACCTATTGTTAGCTGCTATTAAGTTAGCATTTTCAAATGAGTCCAAGTGCATTAAGACATAATCTGCAAAACCCCATTTGAATGTCTCCATTTTCCTGAGTCAATTTTGGGTGGGAGTCTGACCCAAGAATTCACTAAGTCTGGAAGGTCAAGAAGGAAAACTGTAAAGACAACTATGTGAAAGCAGCTAAATTTGGTCAGTTTAAGGGCATTCTTTCTTCTTCCTCCCTCCCTGGGATTTTCCTGGTGTAACGGAATATTTTATTTTGAACATCTAAAAATACCCTTCCAAAACCACAGTAGTTAGATTACTAAAATTTTAATTCAGTTTCCAATCTGTCACCAGTTGGGAATCAGTAATCTAAGGGCTAGGCATGGAATCCTTAGCTGTAACAAAAGTACTTATTAATTTGTAAAAAAAGGAAATGAGACCAAGACTTGAAAAGACAACTCTGGAAATGAAAAAGGAATTTTTACAGCCCTGGCCTGGTGGCTCGGTTGATGGGAGCATCCTCCCATACACCAAAAGGCTGTGAGTTCGATTACAGATCAGGGCACATACCCAGGTTGCAGGTTCAAATCCCCAGTGGGACGTGAACAGGAGGCAAGCAATCGATGTTTCTCTCTCACACTGATGTTTTTCTCTCTAAAATCAATAAAAATATCCTCAGTTGAGGATTTAAAAATAGGTTTTGCTCTAGCTGACGTGTTCAGTAGTTACTGATCACTAAAGGGTTGAAGGTTCAATTCCCAGTCAAGGGCACGTACCTGGGTTGCAGGTTAGATTCCCCCACCCTGGTCAGGGTGTGTTCAGGGGGCGACCAATCGATGTGTCTCTCTCACATCAATGTTTCTATCTCCCCACCTCCCTTCCACTCTCTCTAGAAATATCAATGGCGGGGGCGGAGGGAATTATCCTCAGGTATTAACAACAACAAAAAAGAATATGTTCTGTAAAGTTTTTTGCCAAGCTAAAATATTTTAACAACTTAATGGAAAACATGCATGATGGTTTATCTCTATGAAGACTACAAAGATACAAACATGTTAATTTTAAAATAATGAACAACTACCACATAAGTACATGATATAATGTTATTGTGCTTCAAAAAGTAAAAAAGGACCCATGATTATACAATAAAGAAACATCAATAACACTATTCAAAAAGGGCAGATTGTCTAAATGCGCCTATAGAGCACAGACTTCTAATTTGGATTTTCTGTATTAGATTGCTTTCAAACCAATCTCAAAAGTGTTAAAAAAATAATAAATAAAGTGTTAAAAACGCTTAGTATTACTAGTACTCTTTCTCATTGCAATGCCTTTCAAATAAAGTGAAATGACTCTCGTCCACTAGAAAAATATATATAATTTTCCACATGCACCGAATTGGAAAATATGGTTATTTACTATGCAAAATGTCCTTTAAAAGATGAAACCTTAAGGGGGAAGAAGGTTATTATCGCAGGCTGAACAGTACTGTGCAACTCAGACTACAAAATTTTCTTTTTGGCTGTTTATTGATAGCCATTTTTAAAAAGTAAATCTTGCCCTAACTGGTTTGGCTCAGTGGATAGAGTGTCAGCCTGTGGGCTGAAGGGTCCCAGGTTTGATTCCGGTCAAGGGCATGTACCTTGGTTGCAGGCACATACCCAGCAGGGGTGTGCAGGAGGCAGCTGATTGATGTTTCTCTCTCATCGATGTTTCTAACTCTCTATCCCTCTACCTTCCTCTCTGTAAAAATCAATAAAATATATTTTTTTAAAAAGTAAAAAAATAAAATTAAAAAAATAAATCTTTATTGCTGAAAGTATTACATATGTCCGTGTCCCCCCCCCCCCCCGCACTGCCCTCTTCCACCTCCCTCCCCCTCAAGCCTTCACCACCCACTGTTTGTGTCCTCCAGTTATGCATATATACGCACGAGTTCATTGGTTGATCTCCCCCCCCCCCCCCCGCCTCCCGTCAGCCTACAAATTTTAAAACAAAATATCAGAGTGGCTGTTTGTTTCAGAAGAAATGGCCAAAGAAATATGGTCCTCTGCTTTTATTCAAAAATTATAGATTCATGGGATTCTGAAACAAAGGAAACCTTTATAATTGATTCTAACTGCCTTGTTTTGCAGAGGGAAATGATCAAATCAGAAAAGTGAAAAGAAATGACCAGGCCCTGGCTGGGTAGTTCAGCTGGTGAGTGTTGTCAGTATACACCAGGATTGCAGTGTGATTTCCAGTCAGGGCACATATAAGAATCAACCAATCAATGCATAAGTAACTGGAACAACAAACCGATCTCTTTCTCTCTCAATTATGATGAAAATTACAGTTAGTTGGTGGCAAAAATCAAGACCTTCTATCCAGTTCTCTCAACTCTCACTGTAGTATGTTCTTTCTGCCATACCACCTTTTATGTTTTTTCTTATTTTGGACAAATTGAATTAATAAAGTGAGGCAAGCTATATTATAGATTCATCACAGTAAGCAGTGAGGTATAATCCTATATAATAAAAGGCTAATATGCAAATTGTCCCCTCGACCAGCAGTTCGACTGGGAGTTCGATCGGGGTGGCTGGACGGACCTTGCCTGTGCACGAATTCATGCACCGGGCCTCTAGTAAAAAAACAATAATGAATAATACTTAAAAATACCCAAATTAGAGCATATCACTTCCTAACTGTATGAAGTATAATGATAAGCAATAATGAATAATACTTCAAAATACCCAAATTAGATCTTATCACTTCTTAACATCTCCAGATACTAAATAAACTATAAGATGACATATGTCAGGTAATATTATCACTATAACTTTTTAAATGTTAGATTTTTAAAAAATATATATTTTTATTGATTTCAGAGAGGAAGGGAGAGGGACAAGGAGAGAAGCATCAATAATGAGAGAGAATCATTGACTGGCTGCCTCCTGCCCGCCTCCTACTGGCGATTGAGCCCATAACCCGGGCATGTGCCCTTAACTGGAATCGAACCTGGGACCCTCCAGTCCACAAACCAACTCTCTGCCCACTGAGCCAAACCAGCTAGGGCAAATGAGACTTTTTAATAAACCCAAATAAGATAGAATTTTTCCTCTGTGTTCTCATAATGGAGCTACTAAGATAAGAGCATGACAAAGTAGAGAGGTTTAACAACAACAAAAAAGATTTAAATGTACACGCCTGTCACTAATCTCACTGAGTGTTAAGATAACATTGTTTACAGAACTTAAGATGAAGGGTAGCTTCATTTTCTCGATAGCAAAGACAAAATAAAATATAATAGATGAAGAACGTTAGAAAACTCTTCTCCACACATTTTATGGGCTTTTATGCTGTTATGCTAAAACGCGGAGCAGAATGATAGAGTGGAGTCAAAAAATGCAGACTGGGCCGAAACCGGTTTGGCTCAGTGGATAGAGCGTCGGCCTGCGGAGTGAAAGGTCCCAGGTTCGATTTTGGTCAAGGGCATGTACCTACCTGGGTTGCGGGCACATCCTCAGTAGAAGATGTGCAGGAGGCAGCTGATCGATGTTTCTCTCTCATCGATGTTTCTAACTATCTCTCTCCCTTCCTCTCTGTAAAAAATCAATAAAATATATATTTTTTTAAAAAAAAATAAAGAAAAAAAAATGCAGGTTGGAATCTTGGCTCTCCTACTTACTGGCTGTGCAACTTGAACACTTTTCAGGGCCCAGTTTTCCTCAACTGTAAAATGGAATTGTGAGAATCAGAAGTAACTGAGGTAAAACACCTAGCTCAGTGCCAGGATATGTAGGAAGATGAAATAACTATTATTAAATTTGAAATTATCAAATTGGCTGAAAAACAAAGTTTACTATAAGTAATAAAATAAGTATTTGAATGAAGAATTTCAATTGAGATTAAAACAATTGGGCACACATTATGTTAATGTTTAAGAATTATTATCATATCGATTTAGTGCCAAAGGGATAGAGCAACGAACAAGAATTTTCACATCTCTGTATCTTTTAACTTTTCTATCCAACAACCATCTACTTTGGCTATTGACTTATGGGATGCTACATATGTGGCTAACAGGTTGTGCTCTCTCTTGATTTTAACGTAAAATTTTTTCCTATACCTCTATCCCTGAGTGTGAGATTTTAAGTTTGTGGCCTTCTGGTACAAGATCCTAAAGCATAATACATAGGATATCCTTATAAAAAGATGTTAATGAATCAACTATAAAAAGATAAGCTTTGGCTATCTTCTCTCTGCCAGGAAAAAAGAATGTGGCCAAGAAAAAAGCAACAATTTTTCACTTTTTATAATAACCATAACTAATTTAAAATTAGTTATTTTTTTGCTATAAAATTTTCCAGCACTCACAAAAATTCTCAGGTGTCTGTTTACAATCATAAAATTATCAGTCCTTTAAAAAGCATCTTTAAAAAAGTATTCTGAATATTGAGAATTAAAAATAATTTGATGTAAATGTTTTAAATATGAAAAGCCTGCTTTATCTTATCTGTATCTTCTATCCATTGAAAGTGAATATTTAAAATGTTTTCAATGAATTAGCAATGTATATTACTTCATAAAAGATCAAATATTTTGTTTTACTATTTATAAATTAGGAGAGTAAAGAAATGATTTTAAGAAATACCCAGATTAAAAAAGAAAGAATGAAACCCAGTAACACACACCAATTCCAGCCCTTTTCATTTGTATTCTAGCATGGAACACTTGGCATAATAAAAGAGTAGCTTTTGGTTTACAAACACTTTAATCATGAACACTGTACAAGGAGGGCTTCTCCCCCCTCCCCCCTTATTCTTTTTATCTTCTCAAAAACGTTTAGAGCCCTGGCCGGTTTGGCTCAGTGGATAGAGCATCAGCCTGTGGACTGAAGGGTCCCAAGTTCAATTTCGGTCAGGGGTGCGGGAGGCAGCTCATCAGTGATTCTCTCTCATCATTGATGTTTCTATCTCTCTTTCCCTTTCTCTTCATCTCTGAAATCAATAAAAATATATTTAAAAAAAACGTTTAGAAAGCTGTAACTGCCAGTTACATATCCATCAAGGTAAATAGACATGCTTAATAAAGCAGTAAATTTTCTTATTACTTTAGTACCATGACTACAGGTAAACTACGAATTAAAATATAAATTATAAAAAAATGCAATTTTAAAGCACATACTACAAAAGAACTCTTTCCAACAGTTACTCACACAACCTACAAGTGAACAGCAAAATAAATAATACAGAGCTGGTTGCAATGGCAAAAGGCTATTCCCTACTCAAATCGTCAGTATTTGAGGGCTTTCAAGATTCCTGGTTAAGTGCCAAATGTCTGTTCAGTAATTTTATTGACAGTCCCAACTTTTACAGCAGTACTGAGTATGAAAACACCAAAAATTAAGTTTATTGGGTCTCTCTACATTAGGGCGACATAAAGTAAAAACCAAACCATAGCCAGTACAGTGCTTTCTTCCTGTGGTTGAGGAGTTCAACATTAAAGCACTAAAGAGACCAATTCCTTAAAATTTTCTCCACTCCTCGCTTGCAACATTGCAGTCCTCAATGTATACCTCCCCCAAACACTTCCTACCTTGACATTTGTGGATAAATTTAAAAAAAAACAACCACCATTTCCCCCATAACCGTAAAAAGAAATCAAGGAATAGACTAAACTTAAGACCTTCGGGTAGCAATTTCACCCTCGGCACCTAGTTGGCAAGGTTTCCCCAACGTTTGTCTCACCGTCTTACAATTTCATCCTTCAAATGGAAATGAAGAAAAACACCCCGCGCGAGGTACACTGAGCCGTGAGTGATCCCAGGTCAGCCTGACGCTCTGCCAGAAAAGGCCAGGTAACGACTTCTCCTCCGGTTGTAGCCGTCTCTCTCTCTCAGCCCCTGGACAGACCTCCGGGTCAATGCGACCGCAACTCATTTACAGGACTTCGCGGCTTGTAAATTACAAGTGACAAGACTCCCTTCCCATAGGAGTCCCTTCCCCGCGCGGCGACGGCCTCCTCCCTCCAGACGCCTTTCGGCCGTTTCCTCATTTCCTCGCCCATTTCTCCATCTCCTGGCCACACACCTCTCTGGTCCGAGAAGTTCTCGGAGGCGGACAGCCTGGGAGGGGCTGTCTGAACCCCCCCAGGCCTTCGCCCCCATCTCCACGCCTGTGCGGTGCGCACACACATCGAAGAGTTAGTGCCCAGAAACAATGAGCGACCGGAGCACAGACCGACCGGGACCGAAGAGGAAGTTCCAGAACAATGCCCCGGCCCCGCGCCGCACCAGAGCCCGCGCCGCCTCCCTCGCCCCCGCCGACCGCCCCCACGGCCTCCACAGCTCCGACAAACGGCCCCCCGGCCCACAATCGGGGACCCCCCTCGCCCCGCGAACAAGGAGGCAGAAAGAAAAGCGAGCTCCGGTCGGTCGGAGCTGGGATGCTTTTTCTCCCGGCGGAGGGAGGCCAGCCAAGGGTTGTGTAAAGAACTGAAAGCCGAGGGGTGCGGGGGGGAGGGGAATTAGGGCGCCAGAGCTAATCCCCCGCCCCCCGAGGCCCGCGAGTGCAAGAGGCGGGAGGCGGCCGGCTCGGAGGACTCGGGGGGCCGGGCTGCACTAGGCGTTCGGGCCGCGAGGATGGGGAAGAGTCTGGTAGCGCCAGCGGCCGGCGGGTGACGGCGCCGCGCAAAGGGAGGAGGCTCCGTGTGGAGCGAATCTGGGGGGCCCGGGAGGAGGAATCGCCTTCCTCACGCCGCCCTAGCCCCCCCGAGTTCACACCTCAAACCTGCTCTTGGTCACTCCGTTCACGTCCCTCCTCATGAGGCCGGCGGGTGCGGCCGGGGCCCGGCGCTGCGGCGAGCGGAGTGCAAAGGCGAGGGGCCCCGGGCAGGCCCGGGAGGTCCGGGGCTGGGAGGGGGCGGCGGAGCGGCGGGCGGGGGCCGTCGGCGGGGAGAAAAGACCCTCGACTCCGGCTGGGCCTCCTCCACCTCCCGCGGCGCCGGCGGCGGCGGCGACTTCTCGTCGCTTAGCTCTTCGCTCTCCTCAGCCTCAACTTCAACCCAAAACAAAAACACTCTCCACCTGCCAGCAACGCCGCTCCTCATTGGGCAGCGCCGCCCGGGCCCCGGAGCAGCGTGGGGAGGGGGGAGGAGGAGCGCTCGGCGGCGCGGGACCACCCCTCCCCCACTCCCGGCGCAGCCCGCAGCGGTCGGCCCGGGAGCCGCCGGGGCGCGGGGCGGCGCACGCCCGCTCTCGCCTCCCAGGCCGGCCGGCCCGCCGCGAGCGGGAGGGGCAGGGAAGTGTCTGGGTGTCGGTGTGTCGTTCTGTCTGGGAGGGGCTGGGAGGGGGTGCGAGTGCGCGCGTGCTCACGGATCCGGGAGAGCGAGGAAAGCAGGACAACTGCCTGCAGCACCGGAGCCCCCCGTCCCCCTCCCCTCCGCGGGCATGGAGCACGCCTAACCCACCCAGCACTTGAGCTTTCTGTCTGGTTCCTCCCCCGCCCCCTACGTCTGGTCGCTTCTCCCCCAATAGCCTGTGTTGCCACACACGTCCTTCCCGGCCACCCAGCTCCCTTCCCCTATCACTCACTGTCGCCTTGAACCCAAAGTGCAGCAGGCGGTCCCTGCTCGGAGCCATTTTCCTCTTTCTGGTTGTCGCTAGATTGGGACAGTGCTGTTGTTGCTGCCGCCGCTGCCGTAGCTACCGCTGCCGCCGCCTCCCCCGCCCCCGTGGATTGCATTACCGGGTGTTGCAGGGAAGCCTGGAGGGCCGCTGCGGGGCGTGGGTCGCCCTGTGCATGGATCAGAAGGGCAGGGGGATCATTGTGCTGCCCACTGCTCGGGGATATGCAGCGAGGCCGCACCTCGCACCTTGGGGCCGGGGGGGTTCCGTGCTGGAGCGGGGTGACTATGCCTTTAGCTGGGGGAGGGGTGCACTTTGGTGGAAGTGGGGGCAGGCGAGGCGAAAGGGCCTTTGGCTTCCCCCTCCTCTCCGCCGCGACCGCCGCTGGCGCCCAATGGGCTCACTGCCTGCCCGTCCTCCAATCAGGGCTCTGGTTGGTGAGAACCTGATCCTGACGCCACTTTGGCGGGAGAAACAAGCGTGTCTGGCGAGTCTGGCCGAGTAGGCGGGGGCGCTTACAGAAAGGAAACTGACATATATCTGACTCCTTAGGTTGTCATCGCGTTATTATGCTTTAGCAACTCCAGTCCTCAAGGTTTGGAAATTCATGATCGAATTTACATGAATTAAGAGTTTACCCTTAAAACAACGACAAACCACAGAATCATGTCCCAAAGATAAATTGTAAACTATCAAATTTCAGCAGGAATGAGTTTGTCTTCATACCCCGTTTAATTCGCAGTTTTAGTGACCAACTTGTTATGAATCTCATTACGAGCTGACGAACAAATAGTGCTGGAGAGTTGTAAAAAAATTGGTATGTTTTAGCTGTAAGGCTTATTACCAAACTCTTCAAGCACTTGTATTTTCATTATCCTAGAAAGGGCTTCCTAAGCAAAAAAACTCGGCTTCAGAAACTCATTCTTAGGCCCACAAACCCAGATCTATCTGTTATGCTCTCTCCCCTCACAGGTACTTTTAATGTTATTGCTTCACTTCAGCCAAAAACAAAAGAAAAGAAAAATACTGCCTTTTAGGTATGGCTCACCTAAGAACAGTTTTCTCCTAACAAAAACTGATTAATTTGGTAACTAAGGCCTGCAGAAAATAGTAAAACTGGCTCGAGCAGATATATCAAAAGAAACTTTCACAGGTCTGTTTCCCTGTTTCAATTATCTTTTCCAATTAACCTATTTCAAGTTACACTTACTGGAGGAAGACTTACTTTTTGATAAAATTTTAACTGACCAAACTTTTAAAAAGATGAATACATGAACATTATTCAAAGGTTAAAAACTTATTACACATAGGCATATTACTTTTTATCAAAGAAATTTATTTGCATGTAAATAATCAGGTTCTTTTGTAATGTTTTTGGGGGAAAATCCCAGATTTTTATCTTTCAAAAAAATGAAAAACCCCAAAGTATTTACAGAACAGCCATATACACAGAAAATCAAATCAAAGATTTTAGAAAAGACCCTCCCCAGCTGCTCCTGATGTACATTTTTAAAACTCAAAATTTAAAGCCCAGCTTTTACAGCTGAACCTGTTTCCCAACCTAGTTTCTGAGATGTTAAGCACTTCCTATCCCTCAAAAAACTAACGTAAGGGTAGAAATAAAGGAGGAAGAGGGTTGAAAAGAAGGGGGGTGGGGGGGTAAGACAATGAGATTGCCCAGGGATTGTGGATAATGAGTTTCTTATACTGGCATCTGCTTTAAGTAACTTGATTGAATACTGTATGACTCACAGGCTCCCTGAAAGATTTTGTTCCTGTTTTCTGAGAATTCATGATATTGCTGCACTAAATTTTTAGACGTAGGCCTTAAGAAAAATCTTTCCAAGAGCTACCAACCTCAAGCCTGGTTTTGGCAATTACATCCTGCTTCATCCATCCACCCCCAATACTTATTTTAAAACATACCGATTTTGAACCTGAAATCTTCATGTACATCAGAGCAGGTTTTAACCAAGAACCCCTAACATGAAGCTAAAGACAGAAGAGAAATCAAGTCAAAGAATACATTAAGACACCAGCAGCAGAAAACAGGTAGAAGTTGACTTCATGTCCTTGCCGTCTTTTGAAACAGGAGAATGAGTACACCTAGACAGGAGGGAGGTGTCCCAGGCTTGGATTATTCTGCCTCTTCTCCTCCACCCTGTGGAGAAATGCAGTGCTCCCTGGTTCTCAGGCAGGGTGAAGCAGTTTAGCCCCGGCTCCCTGTTAAGCAAGTTCAGATGCTGGGTCAGTGTGTGGGGTGTGCCCATCGACAATTCAGGGGCTTATCCTTCATCCAGATCCTAACTCGGGATCCTTTGATCTGGGATGAAGACAGAAAGAGAGAAAAAGCTTCCCAGTTTACTCATTTTGGTATTTGTTGGCTCTGCTTGGGGGAGCTGAGCCCCTGATACTATGCAGTACATTCCCCATAAGATCTTCCCCACCCAGAACAAAAATACCATATAACTTTTTTGTTTTCCTGCAGAAACCAATGGGACAGGATTCAAAACTAGGTGAGAAACTTGTGAGAAATCCAACCTGGTTGTATGTCTGAGAGGCTGCTACTGTATCAGCATCACAAGATAAAGCACTCTGGTATCACCTTGCCCATGTCCTCCTTAGTGTCACCCAAGACATTTGACTGATACGGTAACGGATAACTTTTCTTGCTCCACTTTGCAATGTTTCGTTTCCTACTTCTTATTACCTTGGGACACAAAAGTGGCAGAGTTGTTGAGAGCTGATGACCAGAAAAGGGAGAACACTAGAGGAAATCAGAGACAGTCAGGAAAGAAGCCAAAGCTGATTTTCCAACTCTATGCTAACTCCAACCTGCAGAAAGAGCTGAATATAGAAATCTTCTTCAATATCTGATGAAGTCACTCCATTTATCACACACATACATAAATAAATCACCTGGCTTTTCTTTTTTTAATCCAGAAGAGTTGTGCTGGGGACCATGCCCCGTCCTGCTGATACAGGTCCTGAATGGAATCATCAGGAATGGCACAGTGCAGGTGTCAAAAATCAAAGTAAGGCCGCAGAATTTTGAGAGGACCCTCCAAATACTGAGAACTTGTGTTGCACTCAAATGGTCTCCTGGATTTTTATATTTATGAGAAGGGCTTCTTATTGATGTCCCCCAGAATCCAGACTCAGACCTATTCCTCCAAAAAGGTCCAATTGTGTTGCTACACAGTAGCAAGGGTTTATCTTCATGCCCACCTAGCGTTCCAGGCTCCCTTACTTCAAGTGAGCTTGAAATTGTTTTAAGTGAACTATGGCTGCACATTTTTTTACTGTTTTATCTAAGGGAGCACGAGTGATTCAAGTCTGGACTCCTTGTGAGAAAGGAGCCCAGCTCTCAGGAATGGCATCTGTTCTCCTACAAACAAAATGCTGGGGTGTAGACTTTTGGCACATTGTGGAAATAGGAGAACTATTAATTCTGCAATGGTTTTCATGCCACTGGGTCAGGGAAGCTGTCCCACATTAAACCTTACTGCATCTGAAAACATGTTTACAACCCAAAAAGCCAGCCCAGCTTTTTTTGTAAAGGAGAGACTATAAATCAATACATCCACAGGGAGGTAACTAATATTCCTATGATGCCTGAATCCCAAGAAAAACCTCCTAAAACAAAAAATACCATTTTGGTTTTTCTCAACTTCAAAGATGGGCTCTAATTTGCTTGGGCTTCATGCTACAGTACCAGCAAAGCTACAAGCTCCCTACAACCAAATAAGCCTTGCTCTTCTCTACCTCCTATCATTTTGAACCCTGAACCTCATAGAATTAGAAAGGAATACTGTATAAAAACAGATAAAGGGTTAAAATATTACAAATAAATAGCTAAAATTACCTTCCCTCCCCCAAAATACTCCTAAGAAACAGACACAAAACATTACTTAAGTGTCCAAAGTAACCATAGTCCTTCATTTGCCCATGTCTCTAATGGACAACTACCCAAAGGTGAACACCTTCATGCAAATGCATCAAGGGATGTATTGCTTTTTCACTTTCTGCCCAGCCCTTCACATACATGCACTAAAATTGGGTTTAAAACATGGCCTAAAAATGGAAAAAGGGAGAAAAAATATATATGAATATTTCCCACAAAACTGTTTTCTGCCCTTCCCTTTCCC